CAGAATATAAGTAGTAATATCTAACTAAAAATAAGTCCTTTTTTATCTATGATAAAAATATATCATACTTATTATGGCATTGATTTTATTTATAATTTAAAAACTAGAAATTAAAAATCTGCATGTCTATCTCCAGCAAATTAAGAGATGCATCACTGCAATCGATGTTAGAAATAAAATCCCTTCCATTTACTTTTTTCATTGTAATTCAAAAATTAAAAAATGTGAAAACGTTTCTTTCCTTGATTATGGCTCACAAAAGATTTATTAGCTGGATGAGTATCTTGTTTGTGCAGTTCACTAATTGCCTTTAAAAGGAAAACAAAAGATAAGAGGTGTCAGTCACCTTTCATTCAACATTAAATTCTGTTTCGGTTATCCAAATGCTAAAAAATACATTATTTTTTAAATGGAGTAGGGATAAAATGAATCAACAGTGGCAGGCAATCAATTCATTTCAGCAGCAAATTCTGTATTAATTAATATATCTTATTAGACAAAGACTTTTGCTTTCTTCACAGTAAAACAAGATGACCCTCATCTAAAAGTGAAGGTATGCTCGTCTTTTCAGAAAACTAGCATACTGTTTATTCGCATTGCAATTTGTAGTGAAGCAGGGAAGATGTACATTTTTTCCTAGCTATACATTAAGTGTTTTAACACATTTCTTTGCAAACAGCTTCATAGGCGGGAAATGGTCATGAAGGTCAGAGAGAAATCTTAACAATGAACCTTAAACAATGAAACAAGGCTAAAGCCAAAAATGCATTGATTGCATTTCCAGCATTTAACAACATTACGAAACTTTCACCAATACCATCCCTTAGTAGCCAGAATGCCTCATTTGGATTCCAGTAGGTGATAGGAACAGAAATGATAGAGCTTAGCTGAACCAACATGTAATTCACTGATAACAGGGATCGGGGGTATGGTAGAATAATTTGAAGATAGTGCGTTTGAGAAGGAAAAAAAATTGTGCAAGAAACCTTCAAGTGACCTGCAAAACTGTGGATATTGGAGGTTCTACTGTGTAGCTACAGTGTAGCACAGTGGACTTTACATACTTTAAGCAAAATGCCTGTAAGCAGCCAGAGGAGAAATTAACAAAGAATGACGCTCTGCAAACAGCATGCAAGGTTGAGAAAAGGGAAAGGGAAAAGGACTTTTTACACAAGTCCTTTTCTCCATATTAAAATTCAGATCATTAGTGAAGACATCAAAAATTATTTGTTCAAAACTACACCTTCAGGAACTCTATGTCCTCAGTACTAGAACTTTCTTCATCTATTACCATCCAGCTCCTTTTTCAGTTAACTTTTTCAGCTAATTCCCACACATTCCACTAAAGTTTCTATATTCCCACCTATTAAAATCTATATGCCTGCATTTCTTTTCCTGCATTACCATTTGATGGGAAAAATGGAGAGGAAACTGCTGGTATTGTACTCTGGTTATTTACTGTCACAGTGGAACAGACCACTCTCCCTATAAACACTGCACAATTCCTATTTCTGACCTACTCTTAAAAGCCTTCGTTCAAAACTTAGAGAATGAAGACAATAAAATCTAAGCAAGGAGAGTACAAAAACAACATAACAATGATCTCACACAAATACTTTCCTGCTACTGACAGTATCAATATTTCCTATTAAATTTTCATTTTGTCTGGGCCGGCCAAAATGTGATTTCATGGAACAATCTGAAGTGCAAAACCACAATTTCATTGAAAACTAAAATTTATGATAAAAATCTATGAAAACACAAATACCCAGAAAAGAGCAGAGACAGTTTCAACTCCTTTTCCAAAGTAGAACAGTTATTTTCCCTCACTTATGTCAAATGCAGTTGGATTTTTCGGAAGTGGCTTTTTCTCATTTCACATTTGGGGCTGCCCCATTCTACACATCTGACTTAATTCTGGTTGGTTGCATGAAGTTAAATCACAGAAGGCTGTTAGTCATAATATGCAAAAAATAATATCAGGACTAGGTTCTCTTCAGTCAGAATACCAGAAGTCCTCGAGGGAAATAACTGGTGTACCAGTCAGTGGGAAATATCTTTCACCAGCCTATTTCTCAAGGTTAGAGCCTAAACTTAAAAGATTATTGAACTGTTAAGGACCTTGGCCCGAGGGGGAAAACAGAGGGGGATGAGCAGCTGAAAGAGGCACAATATCCAGGAGGAAAGTCCGTCCCTCTCCATGCCAAGTTAGACAGAAGCTCTTGCAAGGCTGTGGTACTTAGTTAATTCTCCAAGACCTCAAATCTCAGCTAATTTTTACAGGGAGTGAGCAGGCAGGCCCCAGGCTGTCTGTATCCTTTTGGATGAATAAACAATACATCAATTTGAAAGAGTTATTCTCTGCCTCTTTAATTAGTCACAGGCCCCAGGCTTCTGAAGAAAAGTGCCTTCTGACATTAACTGCATTTCAGGCTGTTGCAATCAGAACGTTTAAAAGGCAGGAAGACAGGCCCTACAAAGACACTGAGATCTGTGGAGATCTACACAGAAAGATTTGTGTGTGGAAAGGACCTGTACACTGCTACTCCTCTTAACAGATCACAAGGAAAAACAGATCACAAAGCCCTTTTCACCACCAACCAGCCAGAGAGGGCAAGAAGCATCATCATTAGGTGATCCAAATCATTTGCTACCCGACATCAAATCAACCAGGGCAAGAACTCACCGTACATAGTATAGGAGAGAGCTCACAAGCACAGTTTACCCATACGTAGTCACAGAAGACAAAGTAAAATAAGTAAAAAATTGAATAAAAATGACTGACTTTCCATGAAATGTTTTGACACTACCGAAATAAAATCAGAGAGGTAAAAATTCATTTTGATACTTTCCTGTCATAAATGATGTTAAAATTGTTGCAGCCCCACAATATGATTCACTTTTCTTTGGGAAAAAATGCAGTTTTGTCAGAATTGTTCAACATCATGCTTTCTGTCCACATTTACAGCTGTGGTAATAACACTCTCAACATTAACGTAATTTTCACATATCATCTATCGGTCTCAAGATGCTTCCCAAAGACAACTAAATATCATCATAGTCGCCTTCATATTACAGATAGTAAAAGAGGTACGTAGATGTGGGTATGGAATAATTTACTTACACCAGAGCACTCCATCATTGCAAAAAGGTAGGGAAACCTCTCTGCCATTCCTGGAGGACTAGATAGCAGAGGACAGGTACAGCTGCTCCATGTTGAGGGCCACCTTCACCAGGGATGCTGATTACCCTCCATACTGCTCAGCTTTCTTACTCACTAATCATTTAAACATCTAACTACAACCCATATCGTGCCAGCCAGTTACTCTGTCGCTGCAGAAGTGAGGATACAAAACTGAACTATTAGTAATCTTTGCTTCGAAAAACAACCAACCTCATTTCACAGGAAAAACTTTGCTTTTCTAAATCACGGTTCCTATGCAGTCAAATCTCCACTTTTCATGCTGGAAATCTGAAGATAGACATAATATATTCTTACTCTTACTCCATTTCTTTATATTTAAAACTGCACCCTGATCTTCATCTATTTGGTGCACTGACCAATGAAACCAACAACTCAGCTAAGCCCACAGTGTGTCTTTTCAATACATTTAGTTACTATTTTCACGCCTTTTTTTTTTTTTTAATTGACTGTGTTAAATTGGACATTTCCTTTCTCTGTATATGTGCTTCTTCCAACTTTCTCCTAAGGTCCAGGAGCTACCAATTTCACAGGTATTATGCGTACTAGTCAAACTAGATCAAGACCTTGCTTTCAGCAGATCCAAGTCTGTTTTCCTACTGATGCTACTGTTTGTTTTGCCCTCTAAGTAAATGTTTTTCTAGGACAGCCAATGTTAATATCATCTGTAAGAGGAATCAACTAGCATATTAGAAGTTTAAAAATATAAAGACTATCACATTAAGGTACAGGACTGCAGAGAGTTCTCTTAAAATCGAGATAAGGTTTCAAGCTGTTTAAGACCATTCAATTTTACAATTTCACTACTCACTAAGGAAAGGCTGATATGCTATTACTGGAGCCAGCAGGGAGTACCAGATACTGCAGAGTGAGAAATATGTAGCTGTGAATAGTGATTCTTCAAACAGCACAGAAAACGCCTACAGAAGTGCCAAATGAAACCCCTGGGAATACTGTATTGAACTGTGAAATCCTTTCCAGTAAACTACCTGTAAGACAAAATAAAATTCCATGAGAAAGTCAGACAGAGCAAAACCTTCTTAGAAGGGAGGAAGAGAAGAATCAGAGAATGGATATATTCTTCCCGTATTCTTCACAAAAAGCTTATTTTTACCATATTCCTGCCTAACAGCCTAGTGATTCCTTTCATATTATGCAATTATAAATAAATCTACTATGCAATCACCTTCCACTAGGGCTCCAAATCATCTTTTTAAGATACTGTCAATAGTGTTGTTTGGAATTGCTTCTAGTGATGCTTTGATTGCTAAAGGAATACAATGTATTGATTAGAAATTACACCCCCAATTAAAGGCAAAGGTTTTACTACTATACTTCACAAAGCACAGCAAAAAAAAAAAAAAAAAAAAAAAAAAAAAAAAAAAAGGCCAATTAAAAATGAATAACAATCTCAAATTGCTGCTTCACTAAACTGACTGCTTTATTTTGAAAAGTCTCTGCAGAGCAGAACCACTATGTTGAGAATGGGCATCTGTTCAAGAGACTACAGTTTCCCGCCACACTGTTCACATCTTCAGTAGAATTTATAAAATTAACAAATATCTAAAAAAAAATGTGCAGACTAGCTTTTGTTTTCATAGAAAGAGATTAAGTAAAACATTTAGCATCAAATACAATACAAAATAAATGCTCAACGCAAAAATCATTTTAGCAAAAGAATAGAATAAGATAAAAAATTAAATGAACTCAGTATTGGTAAGAGTTTTTACTTACTGTCAAGAAAATAAATACTTTTACACTCAATTAACTTCATTAATATGTCATCGGCAAATAAATAATAATTCAGTCAACATACGAGTCTTTTTCTTCCTCCGTGGCCTAGTCTGTTATGAACAGTATAGAAATTACACAGGAACTCCAGAGGCAGCAGAATGCCCAAGTGTCTAAAAAGAAGCACAAAGAATTTAATCATATTTTCAGTGCATGGCTCTTAAATACAAAATGGAATCTGAAAAAAATCTGTTCATGAACTTTGCAAATGCTTAGCACGCATTCCTAGTAGAGATCAGACATTTTTTCCCTTGCAAGCATCTAGGAAAAAGATGGGTATCTATGTCTTTTTCCCTAGAAATTTTGCTGACCACTAGGTTTCAGTGTCATGTTCCCTCTCTCTGGAATATGGTAGTGTTTGTTGCTCATTCCTTTGTGACAACAGTGGAGAGTCCAGCCAGCTAGGATAGCTCAGCCTTTAGGATAGCTCAGCCTTTCCTCCTCACTGAAATAAAAATGGAGGTTTAACTCAGTCTCTGCAAGCTCACCGAATATTCACCTTCTGCTCACATCTTGGGGCAATCACAGAGCTAAAAAGCAAAAGGCGAGTTGTTGGGGTTTTTTTTTTTTTTTTTTTTTAATAGAATGAAAAAATGAAAACAGGCCTCAGTATCTCATAGCAAAAGCAAGATCCAGGACACATGAGGATGTTAACTTCTCAAACTGGCTACTCACAAGTGTTATCCCAGGATCACACTAAGTCTATCAGGTCCCTGACTGGGACACCTAAGAGTCCCAAGCAAATCAATGAAAGTTTTCAGCAGGAGAAGGGTCAGATCCAACTCTGCACCACCTACCCCTGCACATAAGCCTTAGCACAAGCAACAATCTAGACTGTGCTACCCCTGTTCCATTTAGAGGATGCTACCTCTCTAGTTAATTAAAGAAATGGAGGGATGTACTGCAGAGTCAGACTTGCTAATCAGTCATTGTAAAGATATCTTGGCCAAAATTCCATTGCTTAGCAGCAATAATAGCACTGCTTTCTGCATAGCTTCTTAAGTAATTGACACAGCAAATCTAATCATTTTAATCAAGAATAAGAATATTTTGTTGACAGCAGTAACCAAAGAGTTACCATGGTTCCCATTTCATAAATTACTGAAATAGCTTCCTTTTTTCAGCCTGGCTTCTTAAGGAAACAATATGTGTCTGCACAACCAAGTAGAAACATTCATCTGTTTAACAGTACCTTCATAATCACTTTTCAACCTGTTGCAAATTTTAACTAAATTAGGCAAAAACTTATAATCCAAAAAGCATATTAGCATTTTACAGTGAAAGAGAGAGTTTGGACAAATAAACAAATAAGAATGCATTTAGCTTTAATATATCACACAAAATCTGTATGGCAAGAGACATCATAAGCACCCTAGGCGTGGAGAAAACCTTTTCTATACAGACTGAAGGCGATCTGAACGCAACGCACGTCTTTAGCGAACGATGCCTTGTTATCCCATTGCCCATGAAGACATAGGCAGATATGAAGATATAGGCAGATATGAAGACAAGGAAAATATGACTTTGTCTCACTTTTTTTACTTTTTTTTTTTTTTTTTTTTTTTTTTGAGTGGCAGGCAGGAGGAAGGGAGGCATTAAATGTTATGTAATCAGATCATCATCTGCAGTTCCTCCACTGAGGACTGGTGGAAGTTTTATCTGGCTCACTGAGGTTTCTGGGAGATGTCCCTAGGCACTAGTCAAGCTTCTTCCTGGGTTTTCCCAGGCTCACGATAGTAGTGGAAGGCAAAGATAACGGAAAGATGTTAGATCTGTCTGCTCACAGATGCATGGACAGAAAAGCAAGTCTTATGACAGACAGGTCTTTTGTATTCCCTTATAGCAAGCCCACTGATAACCAGCTCTCTAGTTTGAGCTATAACATCCTATCTGCATCAGCAGATCAGCAAATACAAATCTCTAACTGTGGCTATTTTACCAGAATAAGCAACAGTCCTTTTCTATAAAGATTTCCAAGTGAGTACTCTTTCAGCAGCCCCATTTCTCATGGAATACTTACAACTACTCAAAATGGCAAATGAGATGCATACAATCCTAACTGTGAAACAATTACTGTTCCAATGTTAATCAACAGTGTTGTATCCAGCAATTGTACAATCTCTCAAAGATCTTCTATGGCAAAAGTGTGGGATTATCTTTGCTTAAGGAAAATCACACACACACACACACACAAACTTTGCTCTTACATCCATATTATATAGCATGAAGCTACAGAGTCACTAGTTTTTCCAACAAGGAGGTCATTCTTAACATCCCATCTGTTAAATCCATGTTCTTAAGTGAATTTTGTCTTGCCATGGCCCCATGTGTACTAATCTTTCTCTGAAATTGCAAGGATTTTGACATGGTCTCATAACACTGATTAGGAAAAGGAAGCAAAGCAGAGTATAGCCATACCCTTTTTCTCTTCATCCTCCTGCCTGCTTTTCCCCATGTAATTCATTTCTCCACACATGCTCTCGCATCAATTCCTAGGCAAGCTTATTAATAAGCTTGTTCAGGGTCACATCCAACTCTGTCTGCATATTAATAATATCCTGGACATCTCCCTGTTTGGCTGCTGGTCAAAAGTAAAATGTCACTAGTGATTTTGTTCTATTAGGTATAGGCGTAGCTGTGTAGTCTATAGCAGGATGCTCTACAGAATTTGATCCAGAAAAAAAGGTAATTGTCCGAGTTTGAACATTAGCTAATTTTTATTTTTTGCTACAGGAAGAATATCTAAAACCATAAGTTCACTTCACAAGCAAGGGAAACCTCAGAGGCATGTATAATACACATCATATATGCTACATAGTAGCAGGACTCATTACAGATGACATCAGATATTTTAATACAGCAGAGTAACAGTCACCGAAGTTGCCCTCCTCATATATGCTCTTGCTGCTTCTAGATGTCTTTCAAAAAAATTGGTAGAACACTAGCTAATTAACCTGGTAAATAGAAACAGAAAATGAGGAACTTAATGGAGCTGCCATATGATCAGAGAAGAGCCAGCAGGAAGGAGGCAGAGAAATCTGTAGCTGAAAGCAGGACAAGATGGAGAAGGCAGGAGGGGAAGGAAGCCTGCACTTCCCCGATCTATTAACCCAGGCCTTGTTTTGAAGCTATGTTGTGCAACCTTCTCCTCAAATGGCAAAAGTTATTTCACTTGGACCATATTGAATGAGTTACAGTAGGCAGTTACTGCTCTTTCCCCCTTAAATCCTGAATTAATCCATTCCAGCTTTCATATCATTCACTTTGTGAAGCTAGCAGAGAAAGCTGTCAAATGGCCTGAACTCACAACCTCATCAGCTTGCCTTATGCCAGAAAAAGCCAGCCTTATACCAGAAAGAATACCAGCAAAAGCCAAAAAAAACCCCAACAGAATATATTTTTTCCTTCAATTTCCCTTAAAATTTTCTTAGTGCAAAATTTATATTTGCACTGATCAAGTAAATGTATATTGCAACATATAGTTGCATTTTCACAACTGTAAATCAAACTGAGCAAATCTTTATACAGCAGAATCACTTTATGGTCTTTCAAACAATTAAAAAGAACCCAAACCTAACAGTATCATTACTGTTGTTCTCTGATTTCTCCTGGGACTTATTTTCAGAAGAATAAACATTTATCTGGTATTCATTCCTGCATTTCAACAATGGTCTGTCAAAAAGCCTGCTCCATAAGAAATGTACAAGCCATAAAAAAAAATGAATTAAACAACAAATTTTAACTTGTAAAGTTTAACGGAAATGTATTTTCCTAGCTGTAAAACTCAGTATCATTTTTCTGTAATCTCATATTTTATTTGCATTATATATATACATATATTTGAGAGGAAATTAATAGTGTGATGGTATCACAGCTGAAAAACAATAATGCATGGTAGAGAAAAGGCCTGGAAGCTTATTTTCTGATGACATAGAATGTATTAATATATGAATATTAAGTCACAAATATGGAAAAAGCACTATTGTGCATATGAAATAACCGTTTTCCTTTACAAACATTTGTGGTGACCTTGGCTGCTTTTTCAAGCACTCAGATATGCCTTATGAATTTCTGTAGGTTGCCTAGATGCACGAGCAGAACACAGCTGTTAAGACAAAACTCGACTAAAAAGGACAGAGGGGCCAGTTAAAATTCCCGCAATGTGTTGTGCCACTCCATTTCCAAATTATACTTCAGCTGAACTTCAGCAAAAATGTGACTCGTTGCCGTGACAACAAGCTGAGGCGGGAGATGTTGACAAAGGCGAAGTCTGCGCCGCACATAAAGGATGAGCTGTGTGTTAGAACAGACAAGAGAGTGGTAAATGGCTTCTGTCTTCTGAGCTCCATGAATACAAACACCTCTGAAGCAGGCTAGAAAGAATGCTGCTCCTGCTCAGCAAAGAGAACACTATCCATGATAAGTGTCTGACACTGCAGGTCTCCTGTTCTTGGATAGGTCACCCCTACGCTGGCTCCATAAACACCATCTGTGTACGCTGAAGAAATATTTCCAGAAATAAATGAGTCATATGTCAGATCTCTTGCTTGTCAGTAGCATGGCAGACAGATTTATACCAAATGATAAATATAACAGTAATAAGCTAATATCCTAGAATCCATCCTAAAACTTATAACCAGCTACACAAAATGGAAAAACACATTATGTGTTTATTTTCGTGCTGAAAAATCATACACATTCTAAGTATTTAACATAGTGTGGTGGTTTCTCGCTTTTCTGACTTCATTTTCAGCATAGCCACTGAGAGCTGTCAGCAGACCCATTCCCAGATTGTACTCAGGGTCTCATGATTTGACAACAGAAGACTTGCAAAGTTACTTATTTAAATAAAAGATCTGTCATGACTTCCAAACAGATCACAGAAGGAAGAATTATGCACACTAAACCATGCCAAAGGAGAGCTTTGTCTATCTTGTATGCGTTAAAACATTTATGGATCTAGAGAACATGACTTCATGACATTGGTCCATAGATTTCCTATTGCTCAGGATATTTCCAATGACAAAACCTCAGCTGAGGTTTTGTCCAAGGCAGAAACTGTACTAAAGACATTACAGAGGACTGGACAAGACAAATAGAAGGGAAAATAACA